ATCTGTTAATTCGATGCCCGGCACATTTGAAGTTTGCGTGGTTTGAGACCGGGAGCGACGGTTTGCCCCTCTCTGCACATCTTATTTGGCTCGCTTGTTTGAGTGCTTTTGGTTGCATATTTGAGGTTTGCTTAATTGTACATTTTGTAATGATTTTGTTAATTCAGTACCGTAGAACATTGCGGATCAATTGTGTTTTTACTTCGGGATTCGTATTGGTTCGGCTACGCGTCACTGAAGTGCGAATTGGTTGACGTGTAGTGAAGTCAACTGACAACGGTTTGGGGTTTGTCGCACGAGGCGGTCCAAACAACGTCTACCCGAAAATGGTACCCGCAGTATACGGTTCTTTCCTGCCGCCTAGTCTCTGGTCCACGACCCAGAGTACTGCGGGCACGTCATACCCTATTGGCAAATCGACACAGGTGCGGCCAGTGCGTTGCTAATTCCGCGATCGATTCCATTGCTCACATTGGCAAGCCAGCGATGGTGAAAACTTCCGTCACCTCTAATCGTTCACCAGTATTTATCAAAACCAACGTCACGTTTGCTTGATCGGCGGACGTCGCCTTGGTGCCGTTCACCGAGCTGATCTTCAGGGATGATTCGGTGGTGATGTTGTTTTTTACGGCGAAGCGTTTGGGGATCAAAGTAGCATCAGAGCCATTGCCAATCAAAGCCGTCGCCTTCACTACCCCACTGTATGTTACCCCGAGACGGACCTGCTTGTCCGCCGATTGAGATAGTAGACAAAAGTTGGGTTTTTGGTGTGCCAGTAGCTGGGTTTCTCTTATACGAACAGCACGCTCACCGTCACGCTGCACACGAACGAGCCACATTTGAGCGATCAGGTCGTGATTGAAACAAGTAGGGTACGAATAAATCAGATAAACAAAGTCAAATGGTAGGATCCATGTGTAAACATACAAAGCGAATGGAATGTCAAATGTTTATGTATGTGTGAGGCGGATTGTGTTGAGTGAATGGAACGTGAAATTCACGAAATGTGGAACCGAGATAGATTGACTGGGCTTTACAAGGAGGATTTTCACAGATTGATCAATACACGTTCATCACCAAAATAAATACGGAAGATACTGAAGGCTCCTCTAACGTGGAAGCCGCGGAAGCCTTAGCAATGTACTTGGAAAGTGTATTTAAAAGTGATCCACTATACGCGGAACAACAGTCAACCGACTCTGCTTCGCTTACTCCAACCGAAGTACTGACCGTCATACATTGTGACAGAGCCACCGTTGAGGCCAAACTGCGTAATATCCGCCCGGACATATCTCCGGGTCCGGATAGCATACCGGCGGTGCTTCTCAAAAACCGCGCAGGGGTTCTAAGTGCCTCCCCCGCACAACTGTTTACGGCATCCATGAACACAAAAAAACTCCCATGTGATTGAAAAGCTAGCATGCAACTCCGATATACAAATCAGGATCCCGCACAATCCCCAAAAACTATCGTCCAATAACCCTTCTTTCCATACTTTCAAAAGTAATGGAAATCATAATAGACGATGGAATAAGAGGATTTCTTAAACTCCCGAACTTTCTCATCTCACGGCAGCACGGATTCCGCAAAGACCGGTCATGCTGAACAAACCTCCTAGTGGCGACAGACGATTGGACTAAAAAAGCAGACATGAGGAATAGCATGGATTTTATGTTCCTAGACTTATCCAAAGCCTTTGAAAAGGTACCGCATCGAAAATTATGCGACAAACTTATCGATTGTGACATAACGAGAAGGTTGCTGAGCTGGCTGAAAGACTTCTTAGGTGATCGTAGCTATCAGGTGAGGGTTAACAGGGGGCTTGTAATCCATTACTTAGTCACAAGTAGAGTACCACAAGGATCTATACTAGTTCCCTTGCTCTATATACTGTTTATCAAGAACTTGGCGGGACGACAGTTTCCAGACTTATGACCGGGATGAAGGCGTTTCACAATAACTTGGAGTCATTCGAGGGTAATATGGAACATTATGCATCAGAGAGCCTAAGGTGCAGTTGTTCATCATCTCCGACAGGATCGCTTTTAGGGAGGGAGCAATTGTAATGAGCTTACGGGCTGTAGAAGTGAAGCCTATGTCTACTACGAGGCCGCGGAGAGTTTTTGTTTTCCGTGGAAATACCGCGAGCATTCGCCAGGCTTGGAAAACGTTATATGCAGATGTGCAAAAATTAACTTCGACATTTCATGGGGCGTTGAGGAGCTCTGAAAAAATCGCAAAAGATAACCCTTTTCGAAGCATTTGCGTCTACTTGTAAAATTCTTGCTGTACTAAGCATTTGCTGCTTGGAGACTTTGGTCGCTTTTCCGCCGCTGAAAGAACCCGAAGGTTCAACATTAGGGCATTGATTTTTTCAAGCTTGTTACCGAGTGCATTTACTTCAGCCTTCAGCTTCTCTAATTCCAAGGCCTGTTCCTGTACGATATCTAACATATCGGCCTGCGAAAGAGCTTTATTCATGTCTATCACGGGCTCATCTAACCTCATGGGGTAGGTGTCCTCGTCCGAGGATGTGAGAGAGGTTTTATAAGCCATCAAAAGATTGGAGGGTGTAACAAAATCTTTCACGGGTCCAAAAAAAATAATTAAACCCCTTGAGTTTAAAACTTCAGGAATTACACAAGCCGATAGCAAGGTCAAATTTTGAACGTACTGCGTCTCAATGTTAGTTCTGTATCCGTATTTGGAAAATACTTTTGAAGAACGGAATTGTTAATATAAATTTATATATTTCACAGTTTATTTATAACGTACAATTATCAACTGGCATGGCTTACTATTAGCTAATGCCAACCTTCCGTTGACCCCTCGCCAGCTGATATCGATGAGCATCGAATCCACAAAGACAGTTTCAAGATTGCTGAAGTGGAATCTCCAGTGGATTGTCCACCAATTTTGTGGAAATATATTTTGTGTAATGAAATCGTCACATGATCATTAGGATACTCACCTCGTCGTTATAAACTTCCTTATCTTCCAGCTTAGCCATAAGCGCCTTGTACTCGCTTGAGGTCTTCACTGGTATATTCATGGATATTGCGGTCGAGGTACACGCTTTGTATATGTGGTTCCGAAGGAAGCTCATGTCCTTCTTCATCTCACTGTTGAAGAATCGCTGTTCATGCATAGGTGTTTCCAGCTACGCTACAGAATGCATTTGAGATATCTTAGCGCTTAACAATCATTCTCCACATCAATTGACGCGTGGAGCTATCTTCGTTTACATCTCTTGATTCTGTGGACGAATTAGAAGCCACGGGAGGGCGATTTGACCTAATTGAAAGGTCAATATTTAAATATACTACATTGTACTTAAGTGCGTTTGGGAGTCAAGAGAAATGTAGGGGAACCCAAAGGAAGGGTATGACTCCTAATAATGCTACCTTTATTAAATAAAAATGTTGTTTTACTTTTTGCTGACCGAAGTGGAAGATTATTGTTAAGGAGCCTTCGGCGAACTGTTAGTAACAACGTTCAATTTCGATGGAGATGGTGTTATCTCCAAATCACATTGCCTTGCCAATTTACTTAGCTGGCAATCAATGTCACTGGAGTCCGTTGCGAATTGTCCTTTTTTCTGACATTATTGATATTTGTATCCATTACGGTAGACTCTCAACTCCCGGTTGATGCTTTGCAAAGTCATTCATTGCAACGGTGACATCTGTGGACGGCAGTTCAGAGGCTTCTGAAAACACTCTTTGNCTCTTTGTAGTCGGCACGCCTCGATATGTGTCCGAAATCATTAAGTTGAATGAATTTCACCTACCGACAATTGTACGTATCCTTGCATCGTAAGGAACTGCATTTGGTGGAGGTGGTAAACTTTTAGGAATCGTTCGCTCCATTTTGGAGGAGGAGGTTCTTATCCGCCTCACTTGATTTCCACTGTCTATCCATATTGTTGACACTATTGCAATGGCGTTGTCATCGATGAACTCGATGACGATAAACATCTAAATAAAACACGAATGTTTCAATAAAATGAAAACTCTAACCATGCATTTTGCCGTATATCAAGAACTGGATAAAACAACCAATCATTCGCATGTGGTAGCATTAGGCCTTTGCACTGCATATCACGGACGCTCACACTTTCACGTCGCTTTGCATAGTCAAACATCAGTAAATGCAAATGTGAGAGGATGACAGTGGTTTGACGAAAACATCGTCGCAGAATAGAAGGGGAATACCCATAGACGATGACCATAAATCTTTTGAATAATGTATGGTTTGTCTGATGGCATTGTCCGGACACTTTACGGTGTAGACAGTACCTTCAACCACAACCTTCGATACTGTACGTGGTTGGCGAATGATGGTTCGGCTATCAGTGTCTTCCCGCACAGCGATCGGTCTGTACAACGATGCGAATGCTACCCGTTCTTTCATGCGCCTAAACACTTGCTCGGCTACCGAATGACTGGATGTAATGGAGACACGTATTAACTGCACGAACCATTCAATCGGAAATGCTAAGAATCTGTCGACCGGACCAATATGTATAACATCTTTAGATGAATGAATCCAACCGTGAATGTTCAACACCACTTGGTCCTTTCCGTACAATGTCCGACAACTTTCCATGCATTATTCCCCACAAACTCGATGTACTGGACACAACATTTCCCACAACTCAGTAAGCTAAGATGGAGAAATGCAAGAAGTTCTCATACATATCATCGGGAAATAAATCGCGCAACACTGAAGACCCCAGATACAACAGAAACTGTCTGAATTCCGTTGCCTTCCAGATTTCACAATCGGATGTCGGTCGACAGATTCTTTGGAAATCATATGAGTCGAAGTATTTTCTGAAATCAAGGTAGCAAACTTCGACTCGATCCCCTGCGTCCAACCTTTCTGGTACCTCGTCCAAAGATGATAGGAGGTTAGTGAGGCGAAAATTTCTGTTGACAAAGCCGTGTTGTTGGCCATCTATGAGGTGTTGGTTGTCCAAATATCCCACCAACCTCTCCCTAAGGAGACGCTCGAAGGTTTTCAGGACTACGGAAGGCAGGCTCACTGGACGATAGTTCGATGCAGCCACCATTGACCCACTTTTGTTGATTGGCACCACTTCTGCCGTGGTTCAGTCGGCCGGCAGCGTTCCTGAGGCAAGGGATCGGTTGAAAATCTGAGTGAGCACCTGCAATGATGTCAGCAATGGGTCGCATGGTTACTGGATGCAGCCCATCCCGGCCCGCGGCCTTGTTCTGCTCCAGCTGTTTCAGTGCTGCTTCTACCTCCTTTGCCTCTAAGACAAACGGAGCCATTTGTTGTTCGGGGAGCCTACCCATTGGGTCAGGCAACGGGTTTCCCAAGTCCGATATGTGGAATTTCTTGAAAAAGCTCTTTAGAACTTCAGCCTTCTCCTTACTGGTGGCCGCACTAAAACCATCTGCATTTACTACACTATTGACCGCTATCCAAGAGTGGGCCTTAGACTGCATATAGTTGCAATAGGCTTTTGGTCGCTGTTTGACATTGCGATCAATCCTACTCTGATATTCCCTTTGGCATTGTCTCTGAATCCCAAGTGCCCTTTCTCTAGCCGCCCAATAATGCAGGTGCTGCCAATGGCCACCCCTGCTCCTGAAACAGATCCATGCCTCCTGCTCTATAGCTTGTGCCCTGACTACCTCTTTTGTCCACCAAGGCGGCCGGCCCCCTCTTCGGACCCTTCTTAGGGGAGCTAAAACGTCCGTGAGCCGTGTGATGCGGTTTTTGAATTACTGTAACTCCTGCTCCACGGAGAGGATGCCGTCTGTTGACCGCTGGGTTGCCTTTGCTGCTTGCCTGAGCGCCGGTACATCCAGCTTCCTATAGTCCCTCCTGAGCATGTGTGGAACCAGGGAGGGTTTCCCCTGATGTGAAACCTAAGTACTCCATGGTCGCTTCACCCTAGGGGAGCAGAAACTGCAAGCTGTTCCACATCATGCAGCATCTTTGTCAGAACTAGGTCCAACATGCTGGGCCCTTGCACCTCCCGCCATCTAGTGGATTGGTTGACGTGCTGCACCAGGGACATCACTGTCATTAGATCCACTAGTTTTCTACCAAATCCAGAGTGAAGGGCCCATAGGCTTTCCCAGTCTACCTCCAGAGAGTTGAAATCTCCCATTATGACCATCCGCTTACCTTGGTCAGATATTAGCACAGTTGGCCATTCTCCTCCTCATCTGAGAGTGGTGCCCTGTAGATACTTACTACAGTCACTACACAGTTCGGGGATTGTATGTTGCATGAGCACGCTTGGATATTCGCCGTGGACATGTGTTTGCCCCCACACTGATGCAGGGTGTCCGAAACAAGGAGCAATATGCCACCTCCACCGATACCGTCTCCCCTGTCAGACCTGTACGCGCAGTACCCTGTGAGTTGCAGGCTATCCGTTGTGATGGCCACGTGTAACCATGTGTCGGCAATCACAATACAGTGCGTTCCTAAGGTTTTTGTCCTTATTTGTCTCCACTTGTTGCCTAGGCTGCAGGCGTTCATGTAGAATGCCGATAACCCCCATAGCTCAAGTCCCCCCTCCTAGAAGTCGTGCCACTAGAGTCTAATGCGAACTCGGGCACCCGCCTGAGTACTCTCTTCGTTTTTTATCGCCGGCGTACTCTTGGCCCTCAGTCGCTGAGGCACCGCGGAGGAGATAACGGTTACACTAGCCCTAAGAGCCACCGTAACCCACAATTCCTTACCCGTCTCTAACTGAGTAGGTACATCATCCGGCCTGCCCTTTCGAGCAACTGTGGGCATTATCATCTGTCTTAATGGGGTGGGCTCTGGGCCTTCTTCGTTGCGACTTTACTGTGGGTGATAGTGTTAATGTAGCTGAGCCAGACCTGGGAGGGGATTGTGTACGTTGAGCAGCGAGTGCCGGTGACTGATGCTACTTTCCACTGAGCTCTATCCGGGGTGAGTTACCCCGGGAATCAAAATATGTCCTGTTAGTTGATGATGGGTGTCAGCGAAGGTCAGTATGTATAGATTCGTTACCCTGCTCCACGCCTACTTTCTCATTCGTTAGACGGCTTATTCTACCCTCTTCCGCCCGCTAGGAATGCATCCCCGAATCTCTTATTGCCAAATTCTACAAGAACTGGCCTCGGGATGCGAGCTATGCTTGCCTGCACGTCAGAACATTTTCCAAGCCTAAAGATCCTTTNTCCCACCTGTCTAAGTAGTTTGGAGACACGATGTCTCAGAGCCCTTGCTCTCAGTCTACCACCGCTGCAGATAGGCTCTTCCAATCCTTTGATGACAACATTTCGTTGCCTGCCTATTGTGATGCCCGTTTTGTTGCCTAGATTGATTTATATGGGAAGCCATGCTGGTCACCTCCTTCCTTATCTTGGACAAACAGGCTGTTGGGGCATAAATTTCTTTTTGGATTCGCAGGAGTTTTGACCTCATGTTTGCCTCCAGCTCTTCCAAACTTGCCCTGACTGCCTCTAACTCGAGGGTTTTGTCGGTTGACATTTCAATAACTCTATGACTGTCTCATCATCAGTTGNNNNTTGCATTATCATCGTCGGTTTGCTGTTGCTCTGAAGTGCGGCTATGTATAATTATCTGTAAGCAGTCACAAAAAACCCATTTAAGCTCGGCGTTATCTAGGTACAGACGGTAAGCATGGGGATAAGCTTAATGCAAGCACGATGAAACCACCGGTTGCAGGTGTCGCAGGAGGTACCAATTTCACGACTTTGGAACACTTCCTACACCTCCCGCTGGGACTCAGGGGTGATCTTATAGAGATATGACTGGCCAATTTCCCCATTTTGTGGGAGTGCGATAGAGAAAGGTTGGATGAGATAGAGTGAGAGGTGAACTAATGAGTAATGACCTCTAGCGAATGAAAAAGAAAAGCCCATTGGGTCACTGGCCAGCAGAACGAAAATAGAACATGCGGAAATGGCTTACCTTGAATAGATCGTCACAGACTGCTAAGTAACTCCTTGGGCTCACCGTTAATCCACCTCAATCCTGCAGGGAGCGCGAATGTACGTGTATCATCGATACTCCGTTCGGAAATACTAACGATTTATTCAGTGTTTGAACTAGTTGCCTGCTATGGTTGACTTGAAATGCAGCGATCCTCTCAGGAAAGTTCGATGCTTATCAGGAATGATCCACCTAATTCGATTGATCTTCCTCGCTCCGAAATTTTAACCGCGCGTCCCCCATGTTGAACTAGAAATTCAAAAACTCTCAAAGCGTATCAAGAATAAGGGAGACCGAAATCAGAAGCCACTGAACTCTCCTTAGCATCAGCCACGTATTGTATGACTTGACCTAACCAGAATCGTATGGGGAATGAAGCAGATGAGCTATAGAGAAAGGCTATTAGCACTAAACCCCTTCTCCCTCGAAAGGCGCAGACTACGAGGAGATCTTTGGGAGATGAGGGATGCAATTACGCGACTTGCGGCAGCGATTCGATCTCTAATTCTCCGTGTTTCTCGATCATCCGGTATGGATCAGGAAGAACAGCCGGTTAGTCGAGGGAAAGTATATTGTTCCCTGAGAGCACCGGGGTTTTAACATGACTGTGCTCGACAGTGTCTGAAATCGAAAAGTACTTAGCGAGAGAATGTTTAGCACTGAACTCACGCACTGTTTAAAGTGAAAGTTACTTCACCGAAGGTGGCAGTGACTTAAATAAAGATAAAATACTTAACTGAAGAAGCGGTCTCAGGATATCCGAGATCCCAGCGGAACCTATGCTACAAAGGAGAAGGATGCACGAGCTAATGCTTCAAGCAACCAATGCCTGCAAACATGCGGAAGCATACATGCGGAATAGGCAGATAAAGGTGGTGACAACTCTCGAGCTTGTTTAACTGTCGGTCTCAAGCCATTACAATCTTATTGAGATGTTCAAAATATCTAGGAACCTCAACAGTTCTACAATGGGTCCCTTGTTTTGCCTGAGGGAAGATAGAGGTCTCCGAGGGCATCCATACACTCTATAGCAGACAAGAAGCGGATTGCAAATCAAGCACCACTTCTTCTGGAATTAAGTAGTCCCAGCCTGGAATCGGCTTCTGGCACCAGTAGTGTCATGTCAATCGGTACAGACCTTTAAGCGCGAGTTAGACCTAAGGCGGAGTTCCCTTTTCCCGCACTTGTGCTAATGATAACTCACCCTGACCCCCCCCAAAAAAAACAGAGGCTGCGACATCTCCTTTTCTTTTTCTAATTTCAGATAATTCTGGAACGGCCAAACCGGGAGCAATACCAATTCATAGGCGAGTCAGTCCCAGGACAGAACACATCACTACCAGGATACCGGACAAGCGAAGGCCTCCTCACATCCTGCAATTTGAAATTTGAAACCATCCCAAGCAACACAGAAGAGTTGTCTGACGGCGAAGGTGGACACTGTCACAGTGAGATACACTAACGCCTGCAGCGTTACGGGAAAATGCGAAGAATTGGCGACACGCACCCAAAACTCGGTGATAACAGCTTTCACTGAAACTTGGATGCAGTATGAGCAAGTTATAGAGCAGCTCAGAGACTAGTCGGACTAAAGGCAAGATGGAGTGGACGGCAGACAAAGCGGTGAAGTACTCCTGTTGATCAAAGCTGCTTAAACTCAATGGGACTCATCAGTAAAAGTGGCAACACCTAATACTAAAGCCTAGGCGTGTATTATCCTTTTAGGAAGCTAACCGCTACTTGACCGAATCGACTATTTGCTATGCGAGATTGGCAACCTCTCTGTTCCTTTTCTCGACTCGATCGGCCTCGGTCGCCCAGACTGTCTGCAGTTCGGCCGGCAAACATCTGACAATCGATTCCAGCGTCTGAAGTGCTTCCAAGTCCGACCGATATTGAAGGTGGTTTAGAGCGATGCTGCAG